GTGGCTGGGTGTGGGGGAGGGGTGAGCTTTTAGTGGAACAGGTGTCAGGTAGGTAGTGAGTGAGAGGCACAATGGCGTTCAGCTGGGCTCTCAGGCAAGCCTGTTGTGGCTGAGTTTAGCCTGTGAGCTCCCTGCCCCCCTTGAGGACAGCGCCTCCCCCTCTTTAGACCTGATCACTGGCACCCTCCGGGAAAGATGAGTTCCCAAGCAAAACTTGGCAGCCATGGGTGCCAAGTGTGAGGCTGTGTGAGATGAACCAGGACTGACGCACACCGACAGCTCACCAGACTCTGGTCTACTAAGATAAGGAAGAAGCAAAGGTCACACAAAGCATGATCTTGAAGGGCCGAATGAAAACACTAAATTTGGAAAAGCAAAAAAGCTGAACACACAGGTGGGAGAAAGAACATAATAGGATAGACAACAAAAGGAGAAAACGACAAACCATCCGGGCTGAGACAGTCCCAGGAGGCTCTGGGGAAGACAGGAAATAGAAAAGACAAAGATAAACCATCAGCATTAAAAAAAAAAAAACCAATAAGGGGCTGGGAAGGTGGCTCAGTGGTAGAGCGCTTGCCTTGCAAGCCTGAGGCCCTGGGTTCGATTCCTCAGCACCACATAAGCAAAAAGAAAAAAGCCGGAAGTGGCACTGTGGCTCAAGTGGTAGAGCGCTAGCCTTGAGCTGAAGAGCTGAGGGACAGCACCCAGGCCCAGAGTTCAGAGTTCAGGCCCCACGACCGGACCCAAAAAAATACAAAATACAATAAGTCAGGCCACTGAGGCTCATGCCCATAATCCTAGGTACTCAGGAGGCTGACATCTGATGATCATAGTCAAAACCATCCAGGAAGACAAATCTGAGAAACCATTATCTCCTGTTATGTCCATTTAACCAGCAAAAAGCCACAAGTGGAGGTGTGGCTCAAATGATAGAGTGCCAGCCTTGAGCTGAAGAGCTGAGGGACAGCGCCCAGGCCCAAAAATCAGGCCCCATGACCAACAACAACAAAAAGTATAAGACCCTTGTCAGGTGCCAGTGGCTCACACCTGTAATCTTAGCTATGCAGGAGGCTGAGATCTGAGAACCATGATTCAAAGCCAGCTGAGTCAGAAAAGTCCATGAGACTCTTATTTCCAATCAACCACCAGAAAACTGGAAGTGGTGCTGTGGCTCAAGTGGTAGAGCACTCTCCTTGAGCTGAAGAGCTGAGGGACAGCGCCCAGGCCCAGAGTTCAAGCCCCACAACAGAAAAAAAAAGTGTAAGACCCTGTTTAAGCTCCAGTAATGAACACACATGCACAAATACAGCTGCATAATAGTGTCTAGAAAGGAAAAAAAATAGACCAAAAGGAGAAAATATTTAAAGAATACTATAAAATTAAAGAACAGTAAAAAGACAGAGTCCTTGGCACAGCTCTAGGCTGTGAAACTCCAGAAGATTCGAGGCCATCTAGAGATAAAGGGCAAATGAAAAAGCAAGGTCAATATCCAACTTTTCAGTCATAGTATCGTAGCAAGAGGACGGTGAGCCATCATGTCCTAGGTTGAGACCTGGCTGACTTCCCCCAACCAAAACATATGTAGCCACATGAATACATATAGAACACACAAATCATGTCCCAAGATCTGAGGATCCTAGTTCTGGGCCATCCCAGGCAGAAAAGCCTGAGAAATTCTTATCTCCAGTTAGCAGAGACAAAGCTGGAAATGAAGACTTGGCTCAGGTGATAAAGCACCAGCCTTGAGGGAGAAAAAAAAGCTAAGAGCAGGAAACCAAGAATTCAAGCTCCAGTACTAACACAAAGACAGAACACCAATCTATTCACACATGTGTGCTTCTCCATCTGACAGCCTGGGCATTTCACTTTCAAGGGAAAAAAGTCCACTAGACTCCATCTCCAATTACCAACAAAGCTAGACTGATAGCATGGCTGCGGTGGTAGAGCGCCAGCTGAGTAAGCCAGCCCAGGTTAGTATGAGGCCCCAGAGTTCCAGCCCTAGTACTACATCCACCAAAAAAGAAAAAAAAACAAAAACAAATCTTAACCTTCTTGAGATCCACACCACAGCACCTGATGTCTAGTGCTGGCCCCGGTGTGGGGAGCAAGCCCCTCCCAGTGGCTGGTGGGAGTAGAAATTGGAGAGGAATTAGAACTTAGGCAAAGTGAATGCCAAGAGCAGTTGAAGAGTCATTTTAATGCACTGATATGGAAAAATGTAAAATGGAAGGAAAGAAAACGAGCACACAGAGTACTGGTCCCATGAAAGGTTAGAGATGAGCGCTTCGTGGATGCAAAGGAAAGATCTGGAAGTATGTCCCCCTGAGCCAGCTCCAAGAAGGCAACCAGAGAACATATTTGAAACATTTTCAGAAAATAAAATTTCTAAAACTAGTGAGTGTGTGCAGGTGTTGGAGCTTGAACTCAGGGCGTAGGTGCTATTCCTGAGCTTCTGTGCTCTACTACAGCACCATGTCCACTTCTGAGTAGCTTATTGAAGAGTCTCACAGACTTTTCTACCCCAGCTGGCTTCAAAACCACAATCCTTAGCTCTTAGCCTCCTGAGTAGCTAGGGTGACAGGTGTGAGCCACCAGCGCCCAGCTAAGAAACTAGATATTTAAAAAACAGAAGTGGCTCACGCCTGTCATCCTAGCTACTCAGGAGGCTGAGATATGAGGATCACAGTTCAAAGCCAGCCTGGGCAGGAAAATTCATGAGACTCTAGCTGAGATATGAGGATCACAGTTCAAAGCCAGCCTGGGCAGGAAAATTCATGAGACTCTAATGTCCAATAAGCCACTAGAAAACTGGAAGTAGTGCTGCGGCTCAAGTGGTAGAGTGATTGCCTTGAGCTGAAGAGCTGAGGGACAGCCCCCAGGCCCAGAGTTCAAGCCCCATGACCACCACAACAAAAAACATAAAAGCACTTTGCTTGTAAGAGACAATAGGATGCCTTCCTTATTTCAAGGAGAAGCACGTGGTTTATGGTGGGATGCATTCTTAGCTGGACATCTAGGAACTCTGAAAGTATAATAGCAGGAGTAATTAAAGCAAAGGCAAAACACCTATTCTTGCAGAACTGTGAAGTCAGACCCATTGCCTTTACCATATAAATAGCTCTAACAGCCAAGCAGCACGGCTCCTGTCTCTCTCCTTTGAGAGCGCCCACACCCAGAGTGCGCCTCTGCCTTTTTTGTTGTTTGTTTGCCTGCTTACTTAATAAAGCTCCACCACGTTTTCCAACCATTATGACATCCAGAAATTCTTATTCTGCAATCAAAGTCAAGGACCCTAAATGAAAAGTCTCTCTCTTAGAGGGAAATTTCACAAAACTTCACCTGCATCTGGTGACATAACCAAAGCACCAGGAGCCTTGGAGACAGAGAGTGCAAGTCTGCCAGCCTGGGCATGGCCAGCACCACCACAGCCAAATCTAGGAGTCTGGAGTGTGCACACGTGGCTTCACAACCAGAACACAACACCTGCTCCCAGCGCTTGCCAAAAATCACAAGTCATGGAGGTGTGCGTCAACACCTGGGTGGTGACAAATTCCAGTTTCCCGTGTGTCCCTCCGGTCCTGTAGCTCAATGTCCTGGCTGAAAGACACATGCACTGGCGAATATAGGAGCAATGGGGCAAGATGTCCCCAAGAGTCAGGTGCAGATGGACACAGGGGTAGAGTTCAGGAGGGAGACTGCAAACAGGCCAAAGCCAAGGACTGGGCCGGGAGGGTGGGGGTGGGGGGTAGCGGGGGTAACTCAGCACAGGTCTTCAAGCACTCCAGTGCCCAGGCTGGACCTTGGCTGTGGCCTCCATGGTCTGCCCTTTGCCCCAGGCCTGGCCAGTCCTGAGAGGCAGAAGCCCAGCTGGAAATGTGTGGCTCAAGCTGTCCTTTGACCCCCAGACGCCTCTCAGTGGGTGCCGGGATGGACCCCAGGCCCTCAGATGGGGCGCTGGCTTGGGTGAGGACAGCTGGGTCCTGAGCCTGGGCCCAAGCTCAGATGGGGCTCCCTTGTTCCTCTCTGAACCTCCCCCATGCTCCTCCCCTGCCCCCTAGAGGACTGTGTCCCCCGCAGTGGCCCTGGGGAAAAGCGTCAGAGCCCCCACAGAGCCCTGGCTCACAGAGGCCCCTCAGGGAGCCTCGCCTGCCCCCCAAGTTGGGCAAGTCCAACTTGGCAGCTTCTCTCCCGCCCTGCCCACTGCACCTCTGGCTGGCAGCTGAGCACAGATCCGGGGGTACATCAAGACCCACAGAGGCTCGGAGCCGAGACACTTGGTGCTTACCTGGAGCTGGGAGAAGAGCAGACACGCAAACGCCTCCAAGCTACCCGGGTGGAAGAAAGTGGCACTGGGGGCAGGAACAGGTGCAAGGCCTTATGGAGGAAGACACCACGGGGCCCCGCCCTGCCCCAGCCCCAGCGCGGGAGCCCACCTGAGCAGGATCAGCACCTCAACTCAAGGAAGCGCAGCCTTACTCGCTGAGGCCCTACCCACCCCTCCTTGGCCCCTCCCCCGGCCCCTCCCCCGGCATGGGCTGGGGGGGGGGACCCTCTGGGACCAGCACAGCAACCCCCGCATGGTGATGGCTTCTCCAAGCGTCCTCCCCACGGTCACCCAGAGCCCACGCATCAGTACTGACAGGCAGCTACCCTTCCCGTCCCCACCTCTTCCCAACTGTTCTAGCTGCTTCCCTCAGGCCATTGGCTCACAGCAGACCAAAGCTCAGGTATGCACCGGAGCCAGCCCCACCGGGCGGCGGGGCCCTGGACGGCGGCAGGCTCTGGCACACTGACCACTGTCCTGCGGCTGCCCAGAGGCCTGGCTGGCCCAGGGCCTGTGCCTGCGGCTGGCCCGGCTCTTCCACACACACACCGGCCGCTCCGCTCCCTGACCCTCCAGAGCTGCCTCCAGCCCTTCCACCACAGCCTGAGCTTTTCCCATATACGGGTGGGGGCTGTTGGGCGGCACAGACAAAAGACTGGAGAGCCAGGACACAGGGCGGGGTCAAGACACAGGTGTGCTTTATTGGCTAGTCAGTGCACACGTGACCAGGGAGCACACACCTGTCCTCTGTTGACCACACGGAGACCGCAGGGTCTAGGCACAACTTCTGCCCCAGGGGCCTGGTCATTCCGCCAGCCCTCCTCCTGACTGGGGAGCCCCCCGCCCCCCTAGGTCTTCACTCCATCAGCAGGAGCATGGGGGGGGGGTCATTGGCCCCCAGAGCCCCGCCTGCAGGCCACAGGAAATGAGGCACGGCTGGTGACTCGTGAAGAGGTAGCAGAGCCCAGAATGGAGGCTGGAGACGGGTCTCCCCGCCTCTCCTGCACAGACTCCCACCGGCTGCACGGGAGTGGCGGGAGGTGAGGGGCAGGGCGGCCTGGCATGAGGAGGCAGGCCCCTGCCCTCCCATCTGACCAGGCAGAAGTGGAGGCCAAGCCCGGGTGGTCGTGCCCTTCCCCACAGTGCACAGGGCGCTGGGCTGTGCGGGCTCAGCTCCGGTAGCTCCGGAGCAGGTGGTTGGCAATCACCAGCCTCTGGATTTCACTGGTGCCCTCGTAGATCTCGGTGATGCGGGCATCACGGTAGTGCCGCTCAGCTGGCATCTCGGTCACGTACCCCATGCCGCCCAGGATCTGGATAGCCTAAGTTGGACAGCAGGTTCTCAGAAGACCCCCCCCCCCCCCACACACACACACTCACACGCCGCCCATGGGGCAGGGCCGGCTGCGGGACGGAGCCGCCCGAGGCTCACCTGGTGGCTGATGGCAGTCGCAGCCTCTGATGCAGCCAGTTTGGCCATGGCCGACTCCTAACCTCAGAGATGGCAGAGTGAGCGCCTCAGGGCAGAGCTCCTGGCCCCGGACCCATAGGAGCAGCAGACCCACAGGCCCAGCTGGGCAAGGACCCACCCGGCCTCTCCCTCAGGGAGTCCCTCGGCCCGACAGGCACCTTGATGAAAGGCTTCTTGTTATCCTTCAACATGGCGGCACGCCAAGTCAGCAGCCGGGCACTCTCCAGGGCCAGCGCCATGTCCGCCAGCTTGAACTGCAACAAGCCGGCCCGCCAGTCAGCAGAGAGGAAGGAGGCCCAGAGGCACAGGAGCCCGGCCCCCCCTTACCTGGATGCCTTGGAGCTTCGTGATGGGTGCCCCGAAGGCCCTGCGGTTCTCAGCGTAGCTCACGGCGCAATCCAGGGCGGCCTGGGCGATGCCCAAGGCCTGGGAGGCAATGCCGATGCGGCCCATGTCCAGGGTTTGCTGTGGGGACCAGCGGGTGAGTGGCTGCAGGCTGGGGCCTGGGCCGGGGCCGGGGGGCCGCCGCCCCCCCCCCCCCCCCCTGGGCTCACCATGGCTATCTTGAAGCCCATCCCAGGCTCCCCGAGCAGGTTCTCCTTGGGGATGCGGCAGTCCTCAAAGATGAGGTTGGCTGTGGATGAGGCCCGGATGCCTAGCTTGTCTTCCTTCTTCCCCAGCGTGAGCCCGGGCGTTGGCATGGGAACCAGGAAGGCACTGATGCCCTGGAACGGCAGAGAAGCAGAGTGATTTGAGGCTACCAGCACGCTGGCCCGGGCTCGCCTGCCGTCACGGAACCCATGCCGCAGGGCTTCCCACCGGGGCCCTGCCGTGTGTGTGCATGCATGTGTGTGTGCACGTGTACACACACGTGTGTGTGTGTGCAGACTCCCCAGCGGGCAGCTCTGGTAGAGCTGAGGTTCCATCTACAAATGGCAAGAGCCAGCCCACAGGTCGGCCTGGCCTGCCCTCGGCCCCCACCTTGTTCTGCCGCTCCTTGTCTGTGCTGGCGAACACCACGGTGGCCGAGGCCTCCCAGGAGTTGGTGATCCAGGCTTTGGTGCCGTTCAAGACCCACGAGTCACCTTCCTCCCGGGCTGTGGTGGAAGCGGCTCCCGCATCGCTGCCATTTCCTGCCCCACACACAGACTCAGGATCAGAGCCCCCCACAGCCCGGCCAGCAGGTGTGCTCAGAGACCCCGCAACCTGCTGCAGGCCCTGCTAGGTCCCAGAGCCTCAGGCACTAGCCTGCGGGGAGAGGCATTTTCAAGCTGAAAGGTCCCCAAAGCCACACGGTCCCATGCCCCCCAGGCAGGCTGTGGAGGTCTCCCCAGGACTGGGCAGCCCAGCCCAGTGCCCACATCAGGGGCCTCTCCCTCTGGGGACACCCAGCCCCCCTCCCCCAGAATCCAGGTGGAGAAGGGGCGCCCCTGCCCCTGAAGTACCTGGCTCACTGAGGGCAAAGCAGCCAATTTTGTCACCAGTAGTGAAAGGGGGGATCCACTTCCGCTTCTGTTCCGGGGAGCCGAACTTCAGAATGGGCCCCAAGTACAGAGACTGGAAGGGAAAGAGGGGCGCATTTGGAGGCCACCCCGCGCCTGCTCTTTGCAGACTGAGTGCACGGAGGATGCCGTGGGCTGAGGCTGAGAGGCGGGGCTGTGCGCAGCCAGGGGACCCGGGCCCCCACCCTGGGCTCCCACCCCACGGGGTTTCCCCAAGCGGCTCACGTTGTTGACGCTCATGATGACGCCGGTGGAGGCGCAGCCGCGGCTGATCTCCTCCATGGCGATGGAGTAGGCCAGGTAGTCAAGGCCGGCGCCACTGAGCTCTTCGGGGACGTCCATGGCCAGCAGCCCGAGCTCGCCCATCTTCTTCACCTGGCCCCAAGAGAGCAGGTCAAGTCCTGAATCATGCACTCTGGTGACTCTGGTGCAGCTGTTACCATGTGCCTGACCCCCACTGGGGATTGGATACACAGCTGTTTGGTGGCTCATTGGCAGTAAGAGACGCTTGGATTTGTCTGCCTGGGCTGGCTTCAAACCATAATCCTCCGATCTCAGCCTCCAGAGTAGCTAGGATGACAGGCATGAGCCACCATCCCCTGGCAACATGTTCTTGATAGTCTTTCTCCTTGTCTGTGAGAACAGATTTTTGCCCTTTTCCTCGGTGCTGTAGCCCCAATGTCAGTGACAGAATGAAGGAACCGTAAGCCTGGAACTTCTGATTTTCTGATTTGGAAAAATAACAGTAATAGCAATATAATGATTAATTTAAGGGCCTACCATGTGCTAAACTCTGGGCTAAATGCTTTTTGTGCATTGTTTCATTTGAGTCTCTCCAAAGCATGATGAAAAGCAACTTAAATGCAGCCCTGTGTGTTAACCTCATAGTAAGGTGAGAAGGAGTGGAGCTCCCAGCCGGGCCACAGAGCATCAAAGTGGGATGGCTGGGATTGAAGAGATTCTTCAGTGCTGCAGTGTCTACAGGGCTGCCAGGTTTCCTGCAGGAGCTCAAGTCCCTTGCAGAAAACAACACAGGACTGCATGGAACCAAAGCACCTTTTCTCCAGTACCCTCGCAGAAAACTTATCACAGCCAATACAGTACAAATACTATGAAAACAGTTGTCATGCCGCATTAAAAAATAATAAGAGGGCTGGGAAGGTGGCTTAGTGGTAGAGTGTTTGTCTGGCATGCACGAAGCCCTGGGTTCGATTCCTCAGCACCACATACATAGAAAAAAGCTGGAAGTGGTGCTGTGGCTCAAGTGGTAGAGCGCTAGCCTTGAGCAAAAGAAGCGCAGGGACAGTGCCCAGGCCCTGAGTTCAAGCCCCAGGACTGGCAAAAGAAAAAGAAAAAGAAAAAAAGAAGAAGGAAAAAAAAGTGCACATGCTCAGTACAAAAGCAGTTTCTCTCCTGAACATATTCTTTGCTTCTTTTCTTTTTCTGGAGCTTCTGGGAATCAGGTCCTAGGCACATATGTTACCACATGAGCTGCTGCCCAGTCCTTGTGCTTTTTGTTTTGTTTTACAGATAGGGTCCTGTGTGCTAACTTTGCCAGGACTGCCTTTTAACCCAGACACTCCTATCTCTACCTCCCAAGTGTCTGGGAGTAGAGGCATGGACCACCGGGCCCAGCCTTTCTCATTATTTGGTCTGTGGCTGGTTGCAACCACCAGGGCAGAGTCCACAGATCTAGAAGACAATTGACCTTTCTTACTGTAACCGTGCTCTCAAGCTGCTTTGACTGAAGAGATGTACATCACAAAGAATGCTTGCGGAGTTTTCTTTTCTATAGTGGTACTCCTGTGATTGTAAAAGTTTCACCTCCCTACTCCTCCCAAAATAAATGCCTCATAAAGCTTGTCAAAGGCTTGTTAAGATGATACACAGAAAACACAGCCTGGGCCTGGCTCAGACTGAGTATAGGTGAAAGGTGCCTGGCGTTACCAAGTGGTGGACAAGCTACTCTTCCGCAACCATGCACAGCCCTTTGTGAAATGGCTTGTCTCCTCCTTGACACTGGCTTACAAGACCCTAAGCCATGGGCTGGGAAGGTGGCTCAGTGGTAGAGCGCTTGCCTTGCATGCATGAGGCCCTGGGTTCGATTCCTCAGCACCACATAAGTAAAAAGAAAAAAAGCCAGAAGTGGCGCTGTGGCTCAAGTGGTAGAGTGCTAGCCTTGAGCTGAAGAGCTGAGGGACAGCGCCCAGGCCCAGAGTTCAGGCCCCACGACCAGACCAAAAAAATAAAAAAAAAAAAAGAAAGACCCTAAGCCTGACCTGGCCTTCCCCCTCTCCAGGTCTTCCCTGCATAATGCAAGCCACTGCATACACTTCTCTGCTGAGCAGCAACAAGCTGAGACCTGCAAATGAGATCCAAGCTCCACACTCCATCCCCTGGGTAGATGCTCTGCGGGAAGGAGGCCCCTTGACAGTGCTCTAATGTGACCACCTCACACGCGCCTGGGCAGGGCGGTCCTGCTCAGAGCGTGCATGCCTTCTGTGGCAGGCCTGGCCCAGGAGAGGCCATGGCATGTTCCTGTGCTCAGGTTCTAAGCTCAGCTTTGGCACAATGGTAGCCTGGGACAGAGGGGCTCCCAGCCACACTCAGATTTACCCCAGGAAGATAGAGTGACTACCAGGTGTTAAAAACACATAGATTGGGCTGGGCACCAGTGGCTCACATCTGTAATCCTAGCTTCTCAGGAGGTTGAGATTTGAGGATCGAGGTTCAAAGCCAGCCTGGGTAGGACTCCAATTAACCACCAGAAAACAAAGTAGTGCTGTGGCTCAAGTGGTAGAGCACTTGCTTTGAGCTGAAGAGCTTAGTACAACGCCCAGGCCCAGAGTTCAACTCCCACAACCAAAAACAAAACAAAACAAAACAAAAAACACCAGGTTGGACCTGGCGCCTGGTAACTCACACGTGTAATCCTAGCTACTCAGGAGACTGAGATCTGAGGATCAAGGTTCAAAGCTAGCTCAGGCAGGAAAGTCCGTGAGACTTATCTCCAATCAGCCACCAAAACGCCAGAAGTAGAGCTGTGACTTGAGAGGTAGAGCACTAGCTTTGAGCACAAAACTCAGAGACAGCACCCAACACACACACACACACACACACACAATGAAAGTTACAAAGCCAGCCATTGAAGCAGAAATTGGCACTGGCTTTCCTCCTGATTTTTTATTTCCCTCACTCACAATTCTCCTCCCCTATATAATACTGCTTTTCGGGGAACAAGAAATTCTTCAGGAATTGAGCTGCTCAATTAGCAAGAACCCATCACTGCTCCTCATCCCCCATTTCTTCAGCTGCAAATGAGGTAATGAAGTGCCCCCTCATGGAGTTGTTCTGAAGATTAAATGAGTTAAATATATGTTCACAGACCTGGGAAGTAAACCTCTAGACATTACCTACTGATGGCATTACCATTAGGCTGTGGGGGTTGTTTTCCTTTTGGCAGCATTGGGGATGGGTTCAGGCCTTGAACGTGCCAGGCAAGCATTCTACCATACACTCACACTGTACCCGCTATCTTTTCTTTTTTTTTTTTTTTGGTATCAGTACTGAGGCTTGAACTCAGAGCCTTGTACTCTCTCTGAGGTTTTTCTTTTTCTTTTCTTTTTTTTGGGGGGGGGTCCGGTCGTGGGGCCTGAACTCTGGGCCTGGGCGCTGTCCCTTAGCTCTTCAGCTCAAGGCTAGTGCTCTACCACTTGAGCCACAGCGCCACTTCCGGCTTTTTTCTTTTTGCTTATGTGGTGCTGAGGAATCGAACCCAGGGCCTCATGCATGCAAGGCAAGCGCTTTACCACTGAGCCACCTTCCCAGCCCCTCTCTGAGGTTTTTCACTCAAGGCCAGTGTTCTACCACTTGAGCCACAGTTCCACTTCTAGCTTTTTGGTGATTAATTGAAGAGTTTCTCAGAGCCAGTGGCGCATGCCTGTAATCCTAGCTACTCAGGAGGCTGAGATCTGAGGATCTCAGTTCAAAGCCTGCCCGGGCAGAAAAGTCCATGAGACTCTTATCTCCAATAAAAACCACTAGAAAACTGGAAGTGGCTCTGTGGCCAAGCAGTAGAGCACTCACCTTGATCTGAAGAGCGCAGGGACAGCACCCAAGCCCAGAGTTCAAGCCCCTCGACAGACCAAAAAAAAAAAAAAAAAGTTTCGTAGCTTTGTCTACCCTGGCTGGCTTCAAACCATGATCCTCAGACTTCAGCTCCTAGAGTAGCTAGGATTACAGGGGTGAGCCACCAAGCTCTGCACCCTGTGACTCACTCCTACCATTCTGATCCCAGTGTCCCCATTGTAGGATTTGGATCTTTGCAAATGCACTTTATTATCTATGTTTCAGTTCTCTGAAGTAGAAACTGCCTGTTTCAGTCCTGTTTTCCTCATGTAACTGGGAACTTAGCCCTAGAAAAGCAAAAGGCAAGCAAACCTAGCCCTCAGTTTAGAGAAGCAAACACTGGAGAGTAACGCGTGCATCCCACAAACCAGCCCCGCTCAGGCAGTACAGTGTTAAGACTAGGAGACTGGGCACTCCTCCACCCAGGGCCGAAACCTGAGGCCATGACTATCGGGTGAACAAGAGCAGATGTGGAAACTCTTGGCAAAAAAATAAAACAAGCACTGAGCCTTTGTCCGCTGTGCTCCCCTCCCTGTTCAGGAGTGTTAAGGAAATCTGTGTACAACAGCCCAAGGCCACTCCTAGCCACTCCCTATGGAGAGGCGGACCTGCAATGTCCCGCACTCCACAGAGCAAGCGCCAGTATGCACTGATGGCTAGCAGGCTTATCCCCCAGCACAGCTCCAACCAAACAGTGTCCACCAACACACACAGACAAGGACATTCCTTCCATCTGCATTTGGAATGAGCACATGCTGGAAACAACCCAAACCTCTGTCTGCAGAAGGGAAAAGATTCATAGGCTCTGAACTTGGGTTGTAGATGTGGTTCAGGTGATGGAGGCTTATCTGGCATTTGTGAGGCCTTGGGTTCAACTTCCAGGACCACAAAAAACAGACAAACCAGTGAGGGGCTGGGAAGGTGAACATAAATTGTAATCCTGGGCTGGGAAGGTGGCTCAGTGGTAGAGCGCTTGCCTTGCATGCATGAGGCCCTGGGTTCAATTCCTCAGTACCACATAAGCAAAAAGAAAAAAAGCCAGAAGTGGCGCTGTGGCTCAAGTGGTAGAGCGCTAGCCTTGAGCTGAAGAGCTGAGGGACAGCGCCCAGGCCCAGAATTCAGGCCCCATGACTGGAAAAAAAATTTTTTTTAATTAAAAAATAAAAAATAAACTGAGGGAACACAACAATATGGTGGTACTGGGGATCAAACTCAGGACCTTGCAGCTGCTTAATCAAGGGCTCTACAGCTTGAGCCATGTCCCTACCCTGTTATTCACTCACTTTTTTTTTTTTTTTTTTTTTTTGCCAATCCTAAGCACTGTCCCTGAGCCTCTCTGAACTCAAGGCTAGCGCTCTACCACTTGAGTCACAGCACCACTTCCAGCTTTTTTTTTTTTCATAATTTTTTGTGTGTGAAAATACTGTACAGAGGAGTTACAATTACAAGGGCACCACTTCCAGCTTTTTCTGCTTATGTGGTGCTGAGGAATCGAACCCAGGGCCTCATGCATGCAAGGCAAGCACTCTACCACTGAGCCACATTCCCAGCTTATCACTCACATTTCTATGCTTTAATTTTCTTAACTGTGAATGAGCATATTACCAACCAGGTGCTGGTGGCTCACGCCTGTAATCCTAGTTACTCAGGAAGCACACACACACACACACACACACACACACACACACACAAATAATGGTAGCAACAGCTACCATTCAGGCACTGGGCATTTAGTATACATTATCTCACTTAATCCTATAATCATTGCAGCAGGCAAAATGATTAGAGTAAGTAAGGATTAAAATAAGATGACTCATGTCTCGAGTCTACCAGTGGATCATCTGGTTTTGGTAACTCTAAAGCCACTTGCCTACTCAGCTCGAGTTTGTGAAGTCTTCCCCCAGTCCAGGGAGATGCTCAGGACACCAACCACACAAAGTCATTAAGCAGGGAGAGTGGCCTCAAGCCACTCTTGTGGTCCAGGGGACACAACTCTTGGCTTTCTTGCATTGGAAAACAAGCAAGGAGGGCTGGGGATGTGGCTCAAGAAGTAAAGTGCCTGCTCGGCAAGTGTGAGGCCCAATCCCAGGATGGAAGGAAGGAAGGAAGGAGGGAAGAAGGGAGGGAGGGAGGGAGGGAGGGAGGGAAGGAAGAGAGGAAGGGAGGGAGGGAGGTGACACTGGAAAGGTTTGTCCTTTCACAAAGCTTTGATTTAAGGTGTTACTGAGCTGGTACAATGCACCAGACATCTTGCTAGATCAGTGGATACAAAAGAAACATCTTGAACATGTCATTACAGATGGGCTGAATATAAATTGAAGCAAACTGGAAGGACTATTGGTGGGCATCTCAGAGTATGGGAGAAAATAGACCTGGGTTCAAGTCCCTGGTCTGGAGGTGATGAGTTCCATGACTTTGTTGCATTATGTAATAGCTTATAAGTTTCATCAACCACTGAGTTTCATCAGAGGTCCAGTATGGGCTTCATAGGACAGGTGTTCAGAATAAGATAACCCATCAGAGGCTTAGGATGGTGTGTGGCACAAGGCACACACTCGGCCAGCTGTAACTAGTCCTGTGAGCACGCAGCCTGGCACATGGTAAGCATGTCAGCCATCGGCTGTGTGCTGTTACTGTTTTGGAAATCAAATCTTTCCTCGAGGCCAGTGGTGGACAAGGGAAGCCTGTGTAGAGTATTTTCAGGGTCCCAGGCTTGGCTGTGGGGTTCCCTGACAGGGGTCTCGGTGCGTCACAGTCACTACTCAATGCGCGAACAGACAGTGTCATGGGCTGCTGAGGCTGGCGCGCTCTCACCTGAGCCTTGGGGAAGAGATGCTCCTTGTCCAGCTGGGCTGCAATGGGAGCCAGCTCTTTCTCAGCGAAGTCACGGCATGTCTGACGCAACATCTGGTGTGTCTCGGGCAGCTCCACTGACTGGTAGATGGTATGTAACCTCCTCCAGTCCCTAGGACGGAGCGCTGCTGACAGGAAGCAAAAGGAGACTGGAATCAATAGTACTGTTAATAACAATAAGAATCATAAGGGCTGGGAAGGTGGCTCAGTGGTAGAATGCTTGCCTCACATACATGAGACCCTGGCCTGGGTTCGATTCCTCAGCACCACTTAAACAGAAAAAGCCAGAAGTGGCGTTGTGGCTTAAGTGCTAGAGCTCTAACCTTGAGCTGAAGAGCTGAGGGACAGTGCCCAGGCCCAGAGTTCAAGCCCCACAACTGACAAAACAAAACAAAACAAAAAATGAATCATCATCTGGCTGGGAAGGTGGCTTAGTGGTACAGTGCTTGCCTAGCATGCAGAAAGCCCTGGGTTTGATTCCTCAGTACCACATAAACAGAAAAAGCTAGAAGTGGCGCTGTGGCTCAAGTGGTAGAATGCTAGCCTTGAGCAAAAGAAGCTCAGGGACAGTGCCCAGGTTCTGAGTTCAAGCCCCAGGACTGGGAAAAGAAAAAGAAAAAGAAAAAAAAAGAATCATGGGGGCTGGGAGGGTGGCTCAGTGGTAGAGCGCTTGCCTTGCATGCTCAAGGCCCTGGGTTCGATTCCTCAGCACCACATAAGCAAAAAGAAAAAAGCCGGAAGTGGCACTGTGGCTCAAGTGGTAGAGTGCTAGCCTTGAGCTGAAGAGCTGAGGGATAGCACCCAGGCCCTGAGTTCAGGCCCCACGACCGGACCCAAAAACAAAAAAAAAAAAAAAAGAATCATGATCCACTCACTTAGAAGTTCCTTTACCAGGGATGATATTCACCTACCCACACCACAAGCTAGGGACATCTGGCTAGATCAATGGAGATACTTTTTTTTTTTTTTTGCTAGTCCTAGGGCTTGAACTCAGGGCCTGAGCACTGTCCTTGAGCTTCTTTTTGCTCAAGGCTAGCATCCTACCACTTAAGCCACACTGCCACTTCTGGCTTTTTCTGTTTATGTGGTGCTGAGGAATGGAACTCAGGGCTTTGTGTATGCTAGGCAAGCACTCTACCACTAAGTCACATTCCCAGTCCCTGGAGATACTTTTGGTTGTCACCACTAGAAAGCCATTGATATCCAATGGGGAGAGGCCAGGGATATTGCTATACATCCTATTGTTCACAAGCAGTCCTATCACCAAGACTTGCTCACCCATGCCAGGTGCAGTGACCCATGCCTGGCAGTCCTAGCTATTCAGGAGGCTGAGGGCCAGGAACTCATTAAAGAATGAGACTGTATTTAATGTCAATAGTACTGCTGTTGGAAAGCCAGGCTGACTGAGTGCTTACTATGATCTCCAAACGCTTTACTGCATCTCTTTGTATATGCACTGGATGGCAATAGCCCTTGGCTCTTGGGCGTGGGAGGATCAAAGGCATAGTAAAAGTAGAGTTAGTCTGTTCTAGGCCAAGGGTTCCCCGATTCTTCCTACTTAGGGTGAGTAGGTACAGTTGGCCAAAGACGCCTCAAAGGCATATGGCACTGTAGTTACAGCTGGAGTCAAAAGACAAATCGGAAACACTGCTGTATTAAATAATCCGTTATTAAATAATCTACAGGCTGGGTGTGGTGTGGGTCAAGCCTGAAGTGCCAGACACTACGGATGGGGAGTCAGGCCCAGTCTCAGAACCTCAGGCAAAGTAAGCCAGACCTTATCTCCTCTGGACAAAATAAAAAAGCTAGGGAGCTGGGGTCAAGTTAGCTCCGGGCTCCGGGTTTATTCCTCACCACTGATTTTTAAAAAGCCAACTTCCTGGGAGCTAACGTTCCGAAGCACCCGTAACCTACCAGGCCATGGCAGTGCTGAACGTGCCCGGGGGGGGGGGGGGGGGGTCACCCCACGGCCCTTCTGCACTTGGGACAACCGAGGCTGAGAGAGGCTGCGTCTGGTCCAAGGTCACAGATCTTAAAGTTCAAGGCTGGGCCTGGCTCGGGAAGTAGCCAGTGGTGGGGGGACAGGCGGGGCTGCAGGGAGGGGGGCCCGTCGGGCCAGGCGCGGAGCGGCCGCGTCCCTGCGCCCAGGCCCGTCCGGCACCCGGGGCAGGCCATCTGGGGCAAAGGCCGCGCGGGAGCTCCAAAGGGATGCCGCTGGCCCGGCTGCCGGGCTGGGGCAGGCCCGACCCCCCCGCCCGCCCGGCTCCGTGCTGCGCAGCCCGAGCGCACTCACCTCCGCGGAGGGGGCCCCAGGCCCGGGCGAGCAAGGCAGCAGCCATGGACGACGGAGGACGCGGGCCTTACGCCTCCCGCAGCCCGCAAGCGGTTCCGGACTGGGGGGGCGGGGTCAGGGCGGCGGGGCGGGGCCTAAGGGCAACGACGGCGGGCACGCCCCCGTGGGGGCGTGGCTTCGACGCTCTCAGGCTGGGCGGCCGGCCTCCAAAGCTGGCTGGGCTGGAGGGGATCTTTAGTCCCAGCTGCGGTGAAGTTTGGCCCGCCGCGCGGCGACACTCCAGCTCACAAAGAAGAAAGAGGAGAAATGAATATACACACACATACGCCTATCTTTCCTATGTTTGCAGTGCTTCCTCCAAGGGCCTAGCTCTTAAAATCCGGTTCTATGGCCCGAGGAGCTCGAAGACCTGCCCCTATCCCTTCCCGTGCCCAGGCCCACAGGTGCCTGGCTATTTTCGCTCCAGCTACCCGACTGTCTCTAGGATCTCTAGCTTGTTCCTGACTCGGGATCTTTGCAGCTACTTCCTTCTACCTGGAAGCTTCTCTTCATTCAGAGGTCCCCTGACAGTGTTTCTGCGTCTCCCCACCCATGCTGCTTCTATTTATGAGGCCCAGAGCCTGGTCTTGCTCTGTGCTCAGCAGAGCACAGAGTCTGGGAAAGTGAGGCGCAGCTGCAGCTTCTCTTGAGGGGCACTTCTGCTTAATGCTGTGGGATTTGACCCCTCACATTCTCTGGATCCTTCACCCAGCAACTTACCCCAAGAGGGTCTGCCCTTGACACAGTTCTGAATCTGGCTTCCAGACACTCCCAACATTACCTGTCTCTCAGCTGCCTTTCTCCTTTTACCCCAGCTAGAACCCTGTATCCACCACTGACCTCCAAAAGTCATGGTCCTCCAAGATCCACCTCTATTTCCTAGAGAGCAATCAAAAGATGTAAAGTCCTCAGCATGTTACCTTCAAAAAAAAAAACATTTAAAAGAAAACTCTTTCAATTGATGAATAAAGACACTGGAGTTTGTATGCAGAAAGTTTTATTCAGTCAAAAAGCCAAGAATAAAACCAGACCTCAGTGGTTGACACCTGTAATCCTAGCTACTCAGGAGTCTGAGATCTGAGGGTTGCAGGTTGAAGCCAGCTTGGGAAAGAAAGTCTGTGAGACTCATCTCCAATGAACCATCAGAAAATGGGAAGTGACGCTGTGGCTCAAGTTGTAGAGCATTAGCCTTGAGCTGAAGAGCTCAGGGACAGCGCCCAGTCTGAGTTCAAGCCCCGCCACTGACACACACACACACACACACACACACACACACACACACACACACACACGGAGGTTCCATGCTTTTCTACCCAGGTTGACCTCTGGACCTGCATTCCTCCTGTTCTTGGCTTCCCAAGCAGGTAGGATTACAGATCAGAACCACCAGTGCCAAATTTCTTTTTCTTTTTTTTTTTGTCAGTCATGGGGCTTGAACTCTGGGCATGAGCACTGTCCTTCAGCTCTTCAGCTCAAGGCTCGTGCTCTACCACTTGAGACACAGTGTCACTTCCAGTTTTCTGGTGGTTTATTGGAGATGAGTTTCCTGCCCTGGCTGGCTTTGAACTGTGAGCCTCAGATCTCAGCCTCCTGAGTAGCTAGGATTACAGGTGTGAGCCACTGGTGTCCAGCTAAATTTCTTTTTTCTGAGATAGTCTCACTATAGTCCAGCTTTACCTAAATTTGATTCTCCTGACAGCCTCCTCAGTGCTGGGAGTGTGCACAACGGGCTCCAAAATGTACTGTGTGGGAGTGTGTACCAACCAATCTGGGGCTTGAACTCAAGGCCGGGGCTCTGTCCCTAAGCTTTTTTTTTTCCCTTTCATTAAAAAATATTTTAGGGGCTGGGAAGGTGGCTCAGTGGTAGAGGGCTTGCCTTGCATGCCTGAGGCCCTGGGTTCCATTCCTCAGCACCACATAAGCAAAAAGAAAAAAGCCGGAAGTGACGATGTGGCTCAAGTGGTAGAGTGCTAGCCTTGAGCTGAAGAGCTGAGGGACAGCGCCCAGGCCCAGAGTTCAGGCCCCACGACCAGACCAAAAAAAAAATATTTTAATTATCTTTATTTAAGTAATTGTACAAAGAAGTTGCCATTCATCGAAGCAGTTTATGAATACAGTGAATCTTGATCAAAGTTACCCCTTTCAACGTTCTCACCAGCCCCTCCCTACCCAGCCCTTCCCTTACTTAACTTTAGGTTATATAATACATTTTTTGACATTTAGCAAAGCAGTTTATTTCTACAGTGCATCTTAATCTCTGTCATCACATCAAAATCTTCACCATTGCGTTTAGGCACAGGGTGCCTTCCCTCATATTTTTCAATGCTGTTGTATATACTAGAGATTCTTGCCCGAATTCCTTCCCCTTCCCCTCTTAATTCTTCTAGCCTCTCACCGGAATTCCACAGTCTGCGCTCTCCTTGGAGTCTTTCAGACTTCAATTATTTCATTTCTAACCCCTTAGGTACCACCCAAAGTGTTCACTTGCAAAGTCATTTGTAACCCCTTCTTTACCACCCAGTGTGTTTACTTGTAGAGTTATAAGCAACATTCTAGCTACCACAAATGAGAGAAACCCTGCAACCTATGTTTCCTTGAGTCCGACTTACTTCACTTAATATATTTTTCCCCAAGGCTTTCCATATTCTTACAAAAGATGCAATAACACTCTTTCTGATGGAAGCATAGAATTCCATTGTGAATATACCACATTTTCTTGACGTGTTCATCCACGGAGGGGCGTTTGGGTTGACTCCATGTCTTGGCTATGGTAAATAATGCTGCAAGGCTGCACTAAAGCTACCTTCACAACCATGTTCATTAAAACGAATGAAACTTCAAGTAAACCCATGAACCCTCAGTGGAAACAACCACATCTATGAAAAATGTAAAATAACAAATACAAATAAATCTTTGGAAAGATTCATAAGCACAAGCCAATAGAAAAATAAATGCTAACATAGGAAGTGTTCATGGGTTAAGAATACTGAAGAAGTTTTTAATTTATTGACTATATAACTAGAAGACTACTCTAGAAGGAGTATTTTATTATCGCTCCACTTAAAATGAATGAAAACAGGAAGGGATGCTCTCTCTCTCTCTCTCCCTCTCCATCTCCCTCCCTGTTTTTCTCTTTGTGTGTGTGTCTCTCTGTGTTTAGGTGTAGGTTGTGTTTGTGTATGAGTTTGTGGGTGTGTTGAATAAATGAATAAATAAAATGAAGGAGTCAAGTATGAGTGGATAAAGGGGAAAGTTGAGCAAAAAGGAGAATGAGAGAGCAAGAAAGAGAGAGATCAAAGCATTATGTCTTATGCAAATGAAAACACTGCAGAAAGCCTTCTTCATTAGCAGAGGAGACGGAACAACCACTCACAGTGGTTCTCAAGCAGGATGAATGGACACAGGGAGAGCTACCACTTAACTGCAAATTCACCACAGGAGCCCAGTGCCAGTGGCTCCAGCCTAAAATCTGACCAACTCAGGAGGCTGAGATCTGAGAATCTCAGTTCAAAGCCAGGCTGACAGGCATAAGACTCTTATTTCCAATTAACTCCCCAAAAGCGGGGAGTAAATCTGTGGCTCACATACTAGAGTGCTAATTAAGGACAAAGGCTCAAAGGCAGCTCCTAGACTCTGAGATCAAGCTCCAGAACTGGCACATACCTCAACACAACAAACTACATCTCCCAAACTCAACTCTCCTGTCTACTTAAGTAAGGGCCCTACTGAAGATAGATGAGCAATCGCCAGTCAGAACCACACAGGATTAAGACACTGCTTCTATTCCAAGCCCCATTCCTAGAAGCTATTCTATCTAAGGCCCCTCCTCCACATAGGAGAGCTGAAGACTGAGCCACACCCTCTCACCAGAGCCATTCTTCTCCCCGTGCTCTCGTCCCTCTCAGTCCATCATAATGCATCATAATCACAGTGGAGATTATCTCAACATGAGAGCAGCTGTTCAGGTAGCCGCAGCTGGACTTCCCTTGGCTAGCAGGAGATGATTCTTTTCAGTTAACTGACATTCTGAGACCCCTTGGACAGACCGAGAAGAACCACAGAGGGCTGCAGTCATGTGTCTTTGCACTCAATGTCCTCATTTTAAGGCAGTGCCAGCCTCTTGCCCTGCGTTTGTCACAGGGAATGTGGAATCCAGGATAAAAAAAAAAAAAGCCTGTTAGGGCAAGGATTGTCTCACATGTTGAAGGCCCTGGGTTTCATCCTTCTGAATGAAGCCATAAGCTGCCAACTGCATGCAATGCAATGGGTGTCTCAAAGTACTACTGTTTAGGGATTGGGGTTGCATGAGTTGCTTTATTATGTAGAAAATGAAGAGGCCTACTTTGCATAAACATCCATAAGTGTACCTTTCCCAGAGTTCTTCCTTCAGACCTCTAAGGAATGGTTAAGAAAGTAGAACCCAGTTGTTCAGGGCAGAACTGTAGGTAGAAATAAATTCCGCAGTGTTTGTGTCACTTCTGGGGGACCCAGACGCTGGAACAACTACTGTGGACAAGATTTTGGGTTTGATCATTAGTATGTTCGGGGCTGAATAGATTGACCTACATCTCTCTGGCTTCCCTTGTTTTTGATGAGAAAATTAATGGTAAGCTTCTAGGAAATCCTGAAGGGTATCTTTGCCTTAGCTAGATACAGCACAGTTCACAATGAATCTGCTTATATATTCTTTTTTTTTTTTTTTTTTTTGGGTCCGGTCGTGGGGCCTGAACTCTGGGCCTGGGCGCTGTCCCTCAGCTCTTCAGCTCAAGGCTAGTCCTCTACCACTTGAACCACAGCACCACTTCCGGCTTTTTTCTTTTTTGCTTATGTGGTGCTGGGAATCGAACCCAGGGCCTCAGGCATGCAAGGCAAGCGCTCTACCACTGAGCCACCTTCCCAGCCCCTCTGCTTGTATATTCTAAATATCCTATCAGACACGTGTTTGACATCCATCCAAACAGAATGAAAAAATACTGTGTTTAGAGTAGCCCTCATGTGATCATTCGACTTAAAGATAATGTCAATATTAAAGCAGAAGCAACAAGTATATTGAGGAATAGGAGAGGTTT